GGTATTTAACCTTTCTGTATGCCTCGGTATGCTTGTCTTTCAAATAAAAATAACAACAGACAGGGCACACAATTGTGAGGGTAAATGAGGTAAATCCAGGAGACGAAATGAGCATAGCATTCGGCGCGGTCGTTTGGTGTGGGGCGACTGACTGCTGTGTAACTGAGATTGGGTGGGTACCGAGGATGCTGTGGGGAAGGCTGCCCCCACCTCCACTCATCACCCAGGATGATTCAGCGGCTCAGTGCTTCACTCTAATGAGTTTTCTCGCCTCTGCCTGTCCAGCAGTCATGCACAGCCCGCTGCCAAGATCTTGTTGTTATCCAAACTGAAACCAAACACCAAACTGTAAACACAAAGTGCCTGTCTAGCCCTGTTAGCTGTCATATGTGTCGTCAGGGAGGTAGAATTTTGACCTCATTACTTCTAGTGCAGAATGACTTTTTAATGTCCTCATTCCTTCCTTACCTTTCCTCCTCAACTAAGGGCATTCTCATTTGACCTTGCCACTCAAAAGCTTAACTGGTTTCGGCTGGGTCTCAGTGTTCTTCCCCCATGCTCCTCCTGGATAGTTAGTTCCAGGCCAGCCTGGAATACCTGTGAGAGTCAGTCTCAGTAAAGAATCCAGCACAAAACAAAAGCCCTTAAGAGCACTGGGTGTGGTGGCACACGTCTTTAATCCTAGCACTCAGGAAACAGAGGCAGGTGGATCTCTTTGAGTTTGAAGATGGTCAGGTCTACACAGTCGGCTCCAGGCTGCTATACCAGGCTACAAAGTGAATGAGAGCCTGCCTCAAGAAACAAACAAAAAATCCAAAAAAGTAGAAAGACCATCATTTTACTCTGCCCCCATCTTTTGTTTTAAAATATTCATTGCATTTGTTGTTTCCATTTTTTTCCCTCTTCATTTATTTTCCTATTGGTCTCCTTCCACTTTCCTTTGATTTCTTCTTCACCGTCCTTTGGAAAATGACCGATTGTAGAACCTACATTTATCGAATAGATTTATGTGCTCAGAGTTTATATTGAAAACATTTATAAGGTCAACCCAGTGTTTGAAGACCAGTTGGGAGCTTCATTCTGCTCTGGAAAAGCTAATCAAGTTGGTTTGAATCTGAATATTGTTTTCATTTCATCTTTCACCCATACTGTTCATGCTATCTCATTTCCACCTATGTTATCTAACTTGCCCTCCATACCGTCAATGCTGCCCCACTTTTGTGGAATGCCATCCATTCTGTCTGATTTTCCATCCCTGCTTTCCCAGGCTGTCTGGTTTTCCACCCATGTCATCCAGTAGATTCAACAGTTTTTACTTGGAGACTTGGGAGTGCATTACCTCCAGAAATGAATAGGTCATTGATAGAGGGAAAGGGTTTTCAATGAAGTTGATGTCCTCTAGGAAATCATTTTCTGTGAGCACAATGTAAGAGTTTAAGTGTTCCTATATAATTTCTCCAAGATGAAGGTTTCGCTGTTGTTGCCCTCTGAGAAAATATGGTTGTTTCACTTTTTTTTTTTTTTTGGTTTTACGAGACAGGGTTTCTCTGTTTTGGAGGCTGTCGGTCCAGCCTGGCCCCGAACTCACAGAGATCCGCCTGCCTCTGCCTCCCGAGTGCTGGGATTAAAGGCGTGCTCCACCAATGCCCGGCTGGTTGTTTCATGTTTTAAAGTGTCCCACGGGACTTATACACTGCCTCATAGATGTAGCACTGCAAAGGTGTCACCCTGCATTCCTCAATATCCCCACTCTAACATACAACACCATCGTGTCTTTATTTTCCTTTACTCCACCCTCTGCCCTCCCCTTTATTGTTCCGGGACGCTGTCTTTCTTCTTGTGTAATTTCACTTTAGTTTTCCTAGGTATTTACAGACCAGAAAGTACAGCAATTAGTTTTCTGTTCCTTCTTCATTCAGTTTTTATTTCTGTGTCTCAGTTTAAGGCACTTCTCCCCTTTTATTATGCTTTTCATCACCCCCCCCCCCCGTCCTTCCTTAGGGCCAACTCAACAGCTTCAAGTGGCTTTCAGGAGAGGAAGAATGTTATTCATTTCCAGCATTATATTTCTATAATCATTCAAAACTTACATGCCGAGACATTTTGGAAAGAATCATGGTTTAATTTCTCATAATGAAAACGCTTCTTTTCAGTCTGGTTTCAACAGCTCCCAGGTGGGGGGGGTGGAACATTATTTTAAAGAGCAGTTGATTGGATAATGTTTTTTTTTTTTCAGTGAGTATTGAGTGAGAAGAATCAGGGTTTGTCTGGAGCCACATTGCTCCACATACACTGGGGACCTGTATGAGCTTGCAAAATTTCATACTTGACAAAGTTCTAATACAGAGTAGAAGGAAAACAGGACAAAGGAAGGCTTGGGGGAAGTCCTGAGAGGCACAGCTCTAAGTTGCCTATAGTGAATTTTCCCCCCCAGAATCTACTATTTAGCATCTGTGCATCACAAGAATTCTGCTTCCCCTTTCACAATGTTTCCATGTTTATTATAAGCAGGAAAAGCAATAGCTTTGGTGAGGTTGTCCACACATGTGCCTTCCAGCCCGCCCAGAGCCTCGCTGAGCTCCCCTGGAAGGGTGAGCGCCCAGTCCGAAGGGCTCAGAGCTGGAACTGAAAGTTGGGCGGATGTTTATGGCTTGTTCACTGTCTTAATTTTTATTGCTGCTGCTTCCCTGACTGAGCAGAAATGGGGACTGTGAAAGTTATAGTGAGGTAAACGGAAGCAATGGCTCCCTCCCTGGGGGAGCGGCTGTGTGGCTGTGTGGGTTTCAAAGCTGTGCGAGTTGAGTGAGCTGCCAGGCACGGAGGTGTCCACACAGAGGAGAACTAAAGCTTCAGTTGTGGTGGTCTGTTAAGGGGTCTGGCTCGTGAGACGGCAGAATAAAAGGGAACAGCCGTCTTCTTATTAGGTATTCACGTGCTAAGTTCATCGTTTATATCAACATGTGAAGATGTTAAGGTCTAGGAAGCTATCAGAATATTGATGTTAAGCCAGCAGAATAATTCTGGTCATGGTGCAAATGTGAGACAATGTCCAGTGAAATTTGCAGCTGAAATCCTTTTTAAAGAAGCCAAAACATCAGTGGAGCTGCTTGAGTTTTTAAGGAGCAATAGTAATTGTTATGACTGACCCATATACAGGAGCTGGTGCTATCCCTTGGCAGTAGGTCCCCTGCTGACGATGTGTGAGGCCCTGGAATGATCCTTAGTGTAAGTAAAATGCTGTGCACACACTCTCCATTAGACTGAAAACATTCTGTCCTCTGGCTCGGTAGCAGTGATGTTTGGTTGTCATGGGTGGGGTCAATGAAGAGATGATTCAAGAAAGGACAGAGTCTGTAACTGGTTGAGGAGTTTTGTTTAGCTTGGATCTGTTGCTCTAGTTTCTGCTAGTTCACGTTCCATCTGTTGCCACTCTAGGCTCACAAACAACAACAACAACAACAACAAAAAAGCTGGAGAACCCATGGGTCCATCTTCAAGGAGGTTTTATATGTTCTATCTGTCTGTTATGATTTAAAGTCTTCTACTACTTTGGCTACTGTATAGCCTAGCATTCTGTGGGCCTCTGTCTGGGTTCCTTTTCTGTTGAATGCTTGAAAAGGTAAGTAATTGCTTTGGGGGAGGTGTAAGTACTTAAAAAAATAAAAGCTGACATGCCTGTTGTCTGGCCACTCAAGGACAGTGCAAGGCCCTGCATTGTGGACATTACCTGAAACTGGTTAGAAATGAGGAATCTCAGGATCTATGGTAGCCTACTGACTCAGTTTAACACGGTCTCCATGGGACTCCTGGGCACATTAATATCCACGAGGCACTGATCTACTTACTAATTTGTTTTCCCATATGACATAACATTCTCCAAGGGTGTCAGTGATGTCTGGAATGAGTTTAATTGGGTCATGCTTTATTCATATCTCTCTGCCTCTCTCCCTCCCTCCCTCCCTCCCTCTCTCTCTCTCTCTCTCTCTCTCTCTCTCTCTCTCTCTCTCTCTCTGACAGGAAATCACTATGTATCTCTGGCTGTCTGGAACTCACAGAGATCTGCCTGACTCTTTCTCCTGAGTGCTGGGATTAAAGGCGTGCACCACCTCAGCCAGCCCCCTTACTCTTTATTAACTCACTCACAATCCATATCTCAGAGATTCCTCACAGAAAATCTTCTAGATGCCTCAGTCCTTATAGTACAGACGAGAGGAGACTAGTCAGGTGATGTACCCAAGGTTATACAGTGAGTAAGTAAATGGTGAAGGTGTCCTACCTAAGTTTGGATCTGATTGATCATTATAGACTTTTTAAAAGTGTTCTTACACTATATGATTTCTTGAATTTAACTATGGATATTTGTTTAGTAGAATAAGGGGCATTCAAAGTTAAGTTGTAAAAAATAAAGATGGTAAAGGAGTATTTAAAGACACTTGGTCTGTCAACCAAGCATGTCTCAAACAGCGCTCCATGCATCCCATGGTGCTGAAACAAGAGGTTAAGACCCTTTGAGCCCAGGGATATGAGAGGACTGCATCCCTTATTGCATATAATTTATGCTGCCCATCAGCTGACTGGCATCTCCAGGCAGTCCCCATCTGTTTCAGCCTGTGGGACACCAGGTGCTGAGAGCAGTTCTGATTGTATTACGTTGAAGCTGCCCACAAGCCTCCACAAAAACTGTAAACTATTTGTATTTCCAACCTGTTATGGCTTTGAACAAACCCAGTGCCAGTCTGGCTATTTGAACGCTCATGTTTGCCAAAAAACAGAGCACAGCTTGTGGCCTCCAACCAAATTGTTAATGCTGTGTTTTCAGAATGCCTAGACTGTTTCCAGGGAAAGGTGAAGAATGCCCAAAGAACTCCAGAGAGTGCTCCGAGAGCCTTTGTTCTTGGGCAACCTCATTCAATTGCAGACACGGAGGACAAAAGCCTAGGCAAGCTGATCCTTAAGCGGTAAACTCTGGCACCAGAACCCACATACACCTGTTGCGGGCTGGTGACATCTAATGTCTAATGTGTATTGCCCACGTTGCAGGAATCTAATTGGAGAATAGACACATCGTCTAGCGAGCAGCGGACTTTGGAGCCTGCAGTGATCATGTAGCAGGTCCTGGTGTCTTTAGTGTAGAGAGTCAGGTGTGATTTAGGGGAGCAGATACCACCTGAGCCGGTCTGGGGAAGCTTTTGGGTTTGTGATCAGTCTCAGAGACATGACTCTGCAGAAGTTTGACTATGTCCAAGACCTGTCTAATCTGGACTTTTCCTTTGCCCTGGCTAACATCGTTTCCTCCAAGGCTATGACCTTGAGGACCTGCAGTTGTGGGAGTTGACGGAGCTGTCATGGGGGAGCAGGGCCCTTATTAGCAGCGCCCTCCTCAAGCACTGGGCAGTCATCCTGGTTTTCTCTCTCGCTGACATTTGGAGAGGCCTGGGACAGCCAGACTCCGAGAACTCGGACTTAGCCTCTGGAGTAAACCCCAGTGCGATGTGGGGGAAAGGGACACACTCATCTTAAATGTCAGCCCGGCATTCCTGGGGGTGAGTGACAGCAGGTAATTAGAAGCAATTAGTTGTGCCCCTGCCGGGAAACCGGGCAATTACCTTTCTCTCTGGCTTCCCCCTTCCGTCCTAACTGCTCAGATGGAAGCGGTAGAAGCGCCTTGCTCCCTCAGCGGCAGAACGCCGAGCTGGCGCGGGGACCAAGGATGAGCTGAGCCGGCTAGGGTCTCCTCCTCCCGCCGCCGGCGCAGCGGTGCATTGTGGAGGCAGCGGCAGCGCGCCCAGCGCGGATCCACAGCCCGGGACCGCGCGCGGGGAGAGCTGTCCGAGGTGCTGACCGTCCCGCCCGCGGCCCGCGCGTCCGCCTGCACAGGTCCGCGCACGGATCCACGTCCTCGGGTGGCCCGCTCCTTCTGCCTGGCTCACCTCTCGTAACTCAGGGGCGCAGCGGCTGAAAGAAGTCATGGTCTTCGCTCCAGGTACTCTCGCACCTTCTCCCCTTCCCCCCCACTCTGCTCGCAGACGTCTAGGCGGGGAACGGGGCGGGAGGCGAGCGCCCAGGGAGGAAAGGCCTTAGGACGGCAAGATCCCTCTGCGCGCTGCAGGAGTTGCGGTGGCCAGGGGTTGGAGAGCATCTGGTTGCTCTCTCCACACCCGGCAACCCTCAGCCTTTCGTCCTCACCGTCCCGCCTGAATCCCCGCATCCGAGTGAGCACCGGCACCTTGCCAAGTGGCCCCCTAGCCCCAGCACCCGACCTGCGCGGGCGAGCACCCAGGGAGTGGGGCGAAGGGCACCCGGCTTGGGGCTCCTTCCGTGGGAGTCGCTGCTAACTCCACCCCAGCCTCAGAAGCGGCAAAGTGACCCGCTTCCTCCGGGCCTCCCGAGATGGAGGTCGAAGTCAGGGAAGCGGGGCCGAGGGGCAGAGAAATGCGAGCTCTCAGGATTTCGATCTGAAACTCTGTTCGGACTGCAGAAGAGGCGGCTACTGCGGCGCTTGCGGGGCCCTTGCAGTGTCTTTGGGGGGCAGGTGGCGAAGGACCTTGGTCCTCTTGTCGCTGTTGGAGGCTACAAGTTGGCGAAGAGTCAGATTTTTCTGAGGTTGGTGGGTTTACCTTCTCTCTCTCTCTCTCTCTCTCTCTCTCTCTCTCTCTCTCTCTCTCTCTCTCTCTCTCTCTCTCTCTGTTTGTGTGTGTGTGTGTGTGTGTGTGTGTTGGGAGAGAATGAGGGATCGAAGGGAAAGCTGAACAGTGGACCGCGGCCAGAGTTGACATTTCTAGATCCAAAGTTCGCCTGTCTGTTTTTATTTTTATCTTTCCCCTCTCTAACCTTCTCTCTTCTCTCTTCTTTCCCCCTCCCCGGTCCTCCTTCCCTCTTCTTCTTCTTCTTCTTCTTCTTCTTCTTCTTCTTCTTCTTCTTCTTCTTCTTCTTCTTCTTCTTCTTCTTCTTCTTCTTCTTCTTCTTCTTCCTCCTCCTCCTCCTCCTCCTCCTCCTCCTCCTCCTCCTCCTCCTCCTCCTCCTCCTCCCCCTTCTTCTCTATTTATTTTAAGACTGTACTTTTATTTAAGGGCAGTGGACAACAGGCATCAGGGAACGCACGGGGTTGTCGTGCTATAGCTTTGCTAGGTGTCTTTGATTCGATGAACAGGTTTGAATGTGTCCCAGCCAGGGAGCCAGACACTGGAGAGGAAAAATAAAGCATTTCTAAAAGGAAAGAATTGGATCAGGCTTAAGAAACGAAAGAGGAGGAAGCTGTCTATCTCCCAGTGACCCTCCCCACGTCCCCTATGGGGTCGCGGCCCCCCCTTGTGAGTCACAGGACCCTTTCCCAAGGGTCGCAGTCTAGAGTCCCTGCATATCAGATATTTACATTACGGTTCATAAATATACGTATGAAGTAGCAACATAAATAATTTTATGTTTGGGGGTGACCACAGCATGAGGAGCTGTGTCTTAAAGGGTCGCAGCCTTAGAAAGATTGGGAACCACTGGCTTAGAGAGATGCCCAAGAGTCCTTCTCCTTCCCAAAGCAGGGAGCTCGAGGGGAGTGCAATGGAGGTCGGGCATATGACGGACAGACAGGCAGCCCGGGGTCTGTGAACTGGGAAGCGGCATGTCTTTCCAATTCCAATCTCAGAAAACACTTAGCTTCCTTGCTGGTGTCTCGCTCCGACTTCAGTCACCCCGAGAAGTGAGCAGGATCCCCCCCTCCCCACTTTCCACTTCTGTGGAGGTTGATTCCAGGCAGCCTTGCCAGGCTGAGCTGCAGTTGTCTGGCTTCAGACTCTGCCCAAGGAGACACCCCCTGCCTCCTATCCCCCCACCCCAACCCCGCCCCGCATCCCTCAGCTACACACGTGGAGGAGGCAGTGCTGTGTCTAGTGCTGTGGTTATGAGGGGGTGTTATCTAGACATTACAATGACCTCTTACAAATGAGGGGTGGGGCAGGGTAACGAATGGTAGACCATTTCCCAGGGGCCTTCTGGGTTCAAGCAACTCACAATTTGAACTTGAGTTGGCCTTCCATTTAACTTTAAAGTTTTTGGTTCCGGTTTATCTCTGTGGAGGAAATAGCATTCGTTCACATCTCCCAAGAAATTACCAGGATTTGACCTGAATAGGATCGGTACAGAAACCTGTGAAATATTTCTTGTCTCATCCCCTTCCCCCAATGTTGAGGTTTTATTGAAAATTATAAGCAGTCGGGGGCTAAAGATACTATGTCAACATGCGATTGTGTCCGCTGCTCATGTTTTCCAATCCCTGCGGTGACATCATCCTGCAAGAAAACCAGAAGAGTGATATTTTTTTCTTTGAACTCCATTAAAAATTTACTCTTGTGTTCTTGTTTCTAATCTATTATCCTTCCAAGCCACTGTAAACTGGGACTCTACACTTCTTTCCCTGAGTTAAGGGGAATATTTCCCATCACATGCCTCCAAGCTAACCCAACAAGCAAAGGGGACCACATCACTAGGATTACTCAACAATTACCAACAGCACATCAGAAAAACCAGGCTGGTGTGTACAGTGGTCTTACTGGGTTCTCATAGGGGGGAGCCCCAGGATGAAGCTTTATATAACCTTAGTTAGAAGCCATTCTTGGGCATTTTCACGTCTTGGGTTGGAAGAAATAAGGCTTCCGGTTGGGCAAGAGCCTTGGGTAGTTTTGCTCAGTTTGACTGGAACAGAAAAGTAAATTCCACACATTTCAGTTCCCTTACATGGTTAGTAGACACTGTAACTTGAAGGGTTTTTAATTTTGTGCAAATTTTAAAGTTCCTCCAAGGTAAGGGGCCATGACTCCTAATTTTTTAAAAAGGATTTATGTCTGAAGTCAATTACTCATTTCTGGTACCTTGTATAGCAGTTATACAAAGTTAGCAAGTGAATGAGCAACGAGGTATATAGATTTCTCAGCTAGGGCTGACAATATGCCCTCAGACAGAGGTTAAACCCAGTTGGGTCACGTGGGTAAACTGAGGCTGTGTGATTCTTTCCCCCATTCATCCCGTAACTGTCTCCTCGAACTGAAGGCAAAATATTTCCAAAGGGATGTGAAAAAAATCTCACAAGCGTGAACGAATGACCAGGCCCGAAGGAAGATGCTGATGAACCAATATGGAAACATGCTTTGGTTTCTGTTTGTAATGTCAAACTGACCCATATCAGCCATCTGTGGGCATAGCAATAGCTCCATTTAAGAGCTGGAAAAGTTGCCGGCCGTTGGTGGTGCACGCCTTTAATCCCAGCACTCGGGAGGCAGAGGCAGGTGGATCTCTGCGTTGGAGACCAGCCTGGTCTATAAGAGCTAGTTCCAGGATAGCCTCTAAAGCCACAGAGAAACCCTGTCTTAAAAATAAAACACCAAAACAACAACAACAACGAGCTGGAAAAGTACTGTATGATGTCTGGACTTCCCATGTGGTATCTCAGATGTTTGGAGTAGGGGTAGCTATAGGCAGATTTTTTTCTGTCCCACTTTCCAGTTCCCAAATAACCACACGGAGACTTCTTATTAATTACGAAGGGTTAGCCAATATTTTTCATTAAATTTATTTTTATTTATTTTACGTACCAACCAATTTAGACTTGTTTTTTTTTTTAAACTGGTTCTTAATGACCCACATCTTTTTTTTTTTTTTTTTTTTTGGTTTTTCAAGACAAGGTTTCTCTGTGGCCTTGGAGGCTGTCCTGGAACTCCCTCTGTAGACCAGGCTGGCCTCGAACTCACAGAGATCTGCCTGCCTTTGCCTCCCGAGTGCTGGGCTTAAAGGCGTGCGCCACCAACGCCCGGTGACCCACATCTTTTATTCTACATTCTTTTATGTGGCTCAGTTACCTTTGCTTTGTAGAAAGCTGATGCTGCTTCCAGTCTGTCTGGTGGTGACTCCGCCCTACTTCCCAGAGTTCCCTTTGTCTGGCCCCCTGTCTAGATAATGGCTATTTATCTTTTTTATTAAGCCAATCAGGAGGCGCCGTGGCCAAGATGCAGTGTACAAATGGATTATCCCACAACAGGTATCACAGTGTTCTTGTCTATTTATAGACAAAGCCAAAGTGGGAAGAGGAAGCAAGACCACTGGCCGATTGTATTAAAGTCGGCAAAAGGCTGAGTTCCAAGGTAGAGAGAGAGAGGGAACACTCACAAAGTCAAGTCTCTTCACTGTCATGTTTTTTTTTTTTTGACAAAAAAAAAAAAAAGAAAATCCTCAAATCGGAGTAATTTAATGAGGAGTAGACAGAAGTTTCCTCAACACTGGGCCACACTGCTTCTGGCTCTGAGTACCACACATGCTTCAGGAATTAACTCATCTCTCCTGTAGAGGGGCTTAGTATATACTTGACTTGTTTGGAACTGCTTCAAGTTATATATCCAGTGCCAACAAAAAGATCTTTCCTCTTGCACACCAACGAGGTAAGGAATAATAATGAGGATTTCATAAGGACATAAAACGGTGTAATTGAAAGCAATTAGGTAGGCAGACCCTGATGTCTAAGCTTAGCTTGGAGAGCATTTAACCAACCCAAGTATTTCTAAAGACAGTGATCAAGCATATTTAAGAAGATATTTATTACAAGGTAGCCATAGCCTTTACACATTTACATAAATCTATCAATTCAAAGAAAGTGATGAATAAATTATATAGCAGACTGTCTTAACTGCCGGGCTTATAATCTTCCAGCCTTACAAATTCTCTCCTGTTAGTGTAGTCTTTCAAGACATGTACTCATTTCTTTAGAATTAACTTACACTGCGTTTGGTGTTTGCATACAGTTCAATGACTTTAAAAACATGCATAGGCTCATGCAGTCGCCACAGAACACCTCAGCACACTAAAGCTTTCTTCTCTTGCTTCCCTTTTCAGTCAGCGCCTTCCCTCTGCCCTCACCGGAGCCGTTTTCAGGTCTGTTTTCTGTCCCTCACCATTTGCTTTGTTCAGAACTGGGTCTTAGTTGTTGATGCCACACCAACAGAA